ATTTTACATAATATCTTTGCATATTTTTACATATTTCATAATATTTCCACAATGTCTCTAATTTTTACAATATTTCCCCTCGACATTTCCGACATATGTCCTATATTTTGGTAAGCGACATTTCCATCGACATCGACATTTTAAACCTTGGATTCTGGGATTATGCCCTTTATGTATAAAATATTAAATATATAGTGTTTTATATTATATATCATACAATATGTATATGAAATTTATTTTATACATTGTATAATATAAAATTTTATATATAATATGAATTATAGGTGTCATTAGGGGTGCAATCAAGTCAAGCTAAACAGTTCGATGGTAATCAAGTTCAAATCTCAAGGCAAATTCAATCAGTTATTTCAACTCAAATTCGACCAATAAAATGTTCAGGGATGAAAGCTCACAAGCTGGGCTTGATTAATATAAATAAATATATATATATATAACATATTAGTTTTTTGAGCTTTTAAACCGAACTTGAACTGGAAAATAGAGTTCAAATCGAACTTGAACATAGGAGTATTTTAGTCAAACTAAAGCCAAGACATGCCGACATTCAGCTTGGCTCAATCCGACTGCACCCCCTAGGTGTCATATTATGATATTTATATATATAATATACAATATAACATAAAATAATGAGTTCAATTGTAATACCAGACAAACTTGTAACCAATCAATCGGTATCATAAAAGTGGTAGCAAATCAGGTGGTTTTTATCGAATTCACTAGGGGGTTTGAATGGTTAAAGCCCTTTTGAGATCATGTTGTTCCGGCAGCATAGTTTTTTTTCTAAAATAACACATAAATATGTAGAAAAAATATATATGCAAGTCGGATCAGGCTGAAAATGGTCACCCCCTACATCTGCTATACGAGTAAGGAGACATGATCTGTTATGAATTAGGAGCTAGGGGCAGACTAGAAAGGACATGGGTTAAATTGTGAAAAATGATTTTTAAGGGCCTATAAATTCACGATGGATATGGCACTGAACATATAGAATGGTGGAACAGGACATGTACTTGACCCCATATAATTAGGATAAGGCTTGGTTGAGTTGAGTTGAGTTGAGTTAAGATCCATCTTGGCTCTAATTTTAATCTCATTAAAACATGTATCTAGTTAACTACACAAAGCACCAAAGTTACAAGCAACAACTTAGGGGAGGGGACCATCTGCAAATGAGTGAGATCAACAACAGTTATTCATACCAAGAGGTAATTGGACAGCTTGATGTAGCCAGCATAGTTGTTAAGGCACCTAGGTGATTCTAGGTGGCAATGGGACACCTAGTCCCTAGGCGATTCCTCGGCGATAAAAAATTCATAAAATAGAAAAGTGAGTTTTTCCTAGTTTTCTAGTTTTATATACAATTCAGCATGCATATTAATTGAAAAAAAAAGTAGCAATTTTCTCTATTAGTAACATCAAATTTCCTCTCCAAACATGGAAAATCAACATATTTAGGGCAATTATTTCAATACTTTCAAAAATGATATTAATATAACAAATATTTAATAAAGCAATTCCATATCAAACTAGCAACTGGTATAGAAGGTGTTTTCAGAGATATATCAAACTAAAACTGAACTTTGATGGAAGCTCTACAGGTAATCCGGGCCCATCTGGTAATAGGAGGTGTTTTCAGAGATATTGAAGGCAAGATAATGGCTCTGTATTCAGGTCCAGTTGGAGTTGGAGATTCCTTAAGAGTGGAAATCTTGGCCCTACATCAAGGAGTTAAACTGGCCAAACAGTTGGGGCTACAGCAGATTGAGATAGAGGGGGATTCCAAATTGGTAATTGGGTGGATGCAATCAGGGCAGCTGGGAATTTTCCAAGATCTGAGTACATCTCCTGAACAACCTTCCATATTTCGTGAGCATTCTTGTAAAACAGATACGTGCGTCCTATTTGCGGCTCCATGGAATTGATTAACCACGCCATGACAATGGAATTTTCAGCTTCCCATGTCTTGTAA